GATATTCTGTCACTTCTAACTCTATTTTACATGCAAATATAGCCGAAATCACAGCACAGCCATTGTCTTTATCTTATGTATATTTGATTTCATTAGACGACTTCATGATTATGAATCAGGATTTTTGTGCAGATTAACATCTAACGGAGAGCTGGATGCATATTCATCCCGTTGTCTTACAACAGAAACAGAAAAAATACCAGTGAAAACAGTTTTATTGAGAATTTGGCTGCATTAAAATACAGTTTGTGAGCGCAATCAAATTATTAAATAAGACGCACTGACGTCATGAATATGCTAATTGACGTATGACGTCATTTAGCGACTAATCATACAGAGTTGCGAACCCGACCATGCATACACAAATAACAACAAAAAACTCAAACTTGCAAGCACAACGATGCACATGCAAACAAACATTACACGTTCACTCACAAATATTAATAAATTACAATCACTAAAATCACCTCTCTCTCTCTCTCTCTCTCTCTCTCTCTCTCTCTCTCTCACTCACTCACTCACACAGACACAGACACACACACACACAAAGAGAGAGAGAAAGATTAATAATGTACATTATAAACAGGTGCAAGGTTTGTGTGATTCAATTATTAATATTTTTCTTGCTGTTGTTCAGTGGCGGGTCGTGGGTTTTAAAATAGAGCAGGCACACTCATTGTATTGGTCTGGGATCCCTGCCGATTATTATTATTATTATTATTATTATTATTTTCTTAACCACTTTAAAATGGCTTTTTGGTTGCTTTTAGTCAGAAAACGTAAAGAAAACGACATACATACAGCAAATGCCTGTTGCGCCATTTAATTAAGCTGACTGCTGTAGCCTATGTACAGCTTAGGTTGTTTTCCCTAAATGTGTATATATGGGTGATTCTATAATTAGAGATACATTTGGCATTGCAGAAAGTTAAGAAAAAATTTTTCGCTAACAGATTTTTTTTTTCAGTATCTTATTGAAAACATATTTCATTTTAATAATTCAGTGCTTGCCAAACACAAGTTACTTCCCTTTTTTACTTTTAATGAAAAAACAGATGTCTTTATGGTATTGTTTTTTAACTCTGTTACGGACAAATTAGCCAATGTGTAGAAATAACAATAAATCATAACAGGAAAAATCCTTCTTGTTTCATTAGACAAACAGTCCTTACATTCCATCACTTGAAACTGAGATAATATTTCACCTATGCATACCTTAAAAATTAAAAAAATACCCATGTCTTCACAGAACCGTCCACTTAGAGCAAATATTTTTCATCTGAAAATTTACTATATACAATATCCAGTTAAAAAAATAAATGTCGTTGAAATATTATAAGGGTGCAAAAATAAATCAATAATGTTTATTAGATTTTAAACAACAATTTTATTGTTTTTTTGTGAAAATAGTTCATAAACAGAGTTGACCCTTTAAGTAACAGAATTGACAGAATTATCCGGTGGACTGTCAATTCTGTTACCGCATGGTCAGCATTGTTACTCTACCTTGGTAACAGAGTTTGACAGTAACAGAACTGACAATTTTCTTTATTTTTTGCCAAAAACTCCACTTGCTAGCATAAATGCTAAGAGCACATGGCACTAATGAAATCATGATTAAAAGACTTTTAAATAACACAAAGTGTGATCAATGAAAAAAATCTGTTTTCCTTTTGATGTTGTGGTAACAGATTTGACACTTTATAAAATAACTCGGTGTAAGAACGTTTTAGATTAAAATATTTTCTTAGAGAGAGCACATAGACTTTTCAGTGCTTCAGATCTTAACAGTGAGGGAAAGTGACATCATTTCCTGTATCTTACATGGTTGTGGGAGATAATTCCACTAATTTAAAGGCAAAGTATGGTACAGTAACAGAGTTGACACAAGATTTAAGAAAAAGGTTATTATTTTTGTATTATGTTGTAGAATTAGGAAAATGACTTTATAAATAAAATGAATAAAATATTACAAAAAGAAAAGTACAATGAAATATTTTGATTACACAATGATACATGATGGAAAAAAATGCACCGACTAATTCGGACAACAAGAAATCATGATTTTCAGCTATTTAAGACACTTTTTGCAAAAAAAATATTAAATTGTTATGGACTGTAACATCTTGTAATTCATAACAATGAGTAACACAGTATTAAAATAATTAAAAATATAACCATTTGAAAAAAGCAGAAAAAAATAATGACTTCAGACACCAAATGTACCTGCAATTATAGAATCACTCGCATGTGATTATATGCCATTTTTCTTTTGATAATGGTAATAGTAACAGTTCAAGTAACACTTTTTGTAAGGGTATGTTTATAGTAAAGAAATCATTCATCATAACAGTAGGCAGAGTTTACACATCACTAGATTATAATGGGATTAATGCCTTAAACAACTAGCCTACCTCACATCTACAACCCCAAGAAACATGGTTAGGCTGAAAAAAAAAGAAAGAAACAAAACACGATAACCATTTTAACTAGCCTACAGTTAGTTAACAGTGAAACTCTGGTAACTTGTTAACCCTTCTCTATCATTAGCGGTTGTAATTACCGGTACATCAGCAGATTCGGCACATTCTCGGTAGAAAAGCGGCGCTTTCACGTTATGGTATTACAACTGTGAAATTACAAACAAAAAATACACATTCTGAGACATGAACTGAAATTAATTGTGAATTTTATTAACATTAAATCGCACCTTTTGAGTAGAAATGCATATTGCAATTTTTTTGCTGCAAATAAAACTCCCATAGTCCATAACTACTGTAGTTTTAAGTTATTTTAATATATAAATTCAGTTAAATCATCAAACATTTGTATGACTTGACAGTGACTTGTTTGATTGACCCAAGCTACGACTTGACTTGAATTGCTTGACATAAAGTAGTGACTTGACTTGCTTCATTCTCACAAAATTGTCTTGGACTTGCTTGAGACTTGAAGGTTAAGACTTGAGACTTACTTGTGACTTGCACATGTGTGACTTACTCCCACCTCTGCAAATCAGGCTTCAGTACAGAGTAAAACAGGAGTTTTCCCCATAACGTTTCACACAACGGGAGAGACCGTTCGAAAGGGAACATGCGGCTGCGTATTCAAAGGGGTGAAGAGAAGTGGGATATCATTTTCAGCGATTAATAATTTAAATGCTGCTCTGTACCTCATACAAAACTATGATATATCGCCAGAGAGGATCGTGACTGCAACACATTGTCAGCTGGACTACTTATGGTACAGCTTTTGACATTTTTGAAATAAATTATTGTGATTACACTTTTCAGTCTGTTATGTTTTTCTTTATAACTCTACCTAGTTTTAAGAAATGGTTATGGGTAAGTTTAGAGGTTTGAGTGGTATTAGTGACTCAAAATGTAATGCTATTGTTACTAAAATTGTCATTTTCATATCTATTTCTGTCTATTACGTTTTGGGTTTAGGCATATAACATATATTGATATAATATAATATTAATATATAAATGTTAAAAGGAAAATTATACAGATACAGTATCTATGATACACCTAAAATATTTGTACTGTAAATAGTTTATTTTTTTTATAATGTTGCCAATACATCCATGCTGTACATTTGAGCATCTTAAGTATGTTTTGTGTCTGTAGAAGTTATGTATTAAATATCTACTGCTTAATAAGTGCCATACTTAATGTGAATTTGACTTTCCCTTTAGAACAGGGGGTCAAATTGCCTTTATTACACTATTTTACCAAATTATAACTGCAAAACCAGCACTAATTATACATAATTACTAGCTTATTGTTCAGTTAACTTAATAGATGGTGAATCACAGAAATATAATTACATCACTACACAAAAATAAATATGGCTTATTAAGTTCTAAATAATGTCTAAAAGGTGTATACTGTACATTCAGTTAATCATTAATTACTAGCTTATGTTTTGCTTATTTATTGCATAAATGTGTATCTTTCAAATGTTTAATAAATTGTAAATAATGGCTAATATGCCCTTACTATATGTTATCATTAATCATTAATTACTAGTGTGTTCATGTTTAACTAATGTATAATTTTAAAAATGTTAATCATTAATTGCTAGTTTATTTATGCTTAATGCATAATTCTGACCCTTAAAATGTCAAGTTAATCATTAATTACTTGCGTGTTTGTGCTTAACTAATGCTTAATTGTGAATGAGTTAGTCATTAATTAATGCTTAACTAAAGCATTATTCTGGACCCTTAAAATAAACTGTTACCCACTTTATTTCTCTCTATTTTGATGCACAGAAGACTACAGAATGAATAGAAGCTAGAGCATTATGACAAAACTTCATGATCAATAAGTTCATTAACATCAGGATGACAAACAGAAGGCAGACTGCATATGTTAAGTTGGGCGTTTCCACTGGTGACCAAAACAATGATTTACAATAAGCTGCATTTTAGTTAATTTTGTCTCTTCCTTGTCTCTTTCCAGTTCACAGAAGCAGAACTGGTAACGTTACATTCTTGCCCAGTCTGAGACAATGACAAGCTACTGACCAGACAAACTAGTGAGTTCAAGAACAGGGACTGTCCAGGAGCTTATTAGAGACCAATGTGAACATCACTGTTGTGCATTGTTGTCACTGAACATCCTGCAGTATCTTAGATGTAAATCATACCAGAGCTGCACTGATGACTAAAACTGAAACTAAAATCACTTTTAGCTGTTTTTTTTTATTTTAAAATGAATAATCTGAATTGACTGCACAATAATTAGGCTACTATAAATCCACCAATAGTTTGTGGAGACTTGCACAAACTGTTTTTCACTGTAAATGATGCCTCATATCCGTAGTTCAAATGTCTAACTCATCAGCAGCCAAAGAAAATAAATAAGTAAAACTTGATAGCCTAATAGAGTTTACTGTACTATAGAGTTTTCTAAAAAGCATCATTAGAAATGCATGTAACGTTGCTGAGGAGTGCAGTTAAAGTAAAATATAAATACATATTTTGAGAGAAAATGGCTGACTTGATGCCATCTGTTACCGGTGGCTATAAGATGGCCTATAAGATCTCGTTTGACGGTTTGTTAGTTTTTTTTTACTAAACTGCTTGTGCTGTTATAAACTGATTTAGTACTTTTATTTTCACTTCAGCGCAAAATTACACAATTTTACTCTCTTCCTCTTCAGCATCAAACATAAACGGATTAAACGTGACAACAGACAATAGCAACAACAAAAATGTTTTCCATCAAAAACATTTCATAAAATACAATTACAGAAGTGAAAGTATGATGCTTCTCAAGGAAATAGACAGAAGTCATAAACACCTTCTCAAGGTCAAAGAATGGATCATCCTCTTTGCACGTAAGACATCAGCTCTGTACAATGAAGATGCGGAATGTCTCCAGCGATAACAGATCTAAACATTCCTCAGCTATGAGATCATTGTAGCTGATGGGATGGACCTCCATCACGTCTCAGATTTTTCAGCTGCTGTAAATGATATAAAAGCAAGAGAGAGCACATACAGATACATCAGTGAGATTCATCACACACTCATCTACATCATGACCTTCACCATCTTCTCCATCACCTGCTTTGCTCTGGTGGCCTCTGCTCTGGGTAAGTGTCTTCTTTAGAAGTTTTCAAGAATAATGACGGGCAAATAGATTTAGAAAATGCAAAACCTGCCTTAAGAGCTTCCTGTCTCATGCTTGTCTCATGAACAATGTGTTACGTTCTGTAATAACAGGTTGTGGAGTGCCTGCGATTAAGCCACAGACGATCGGCAGCAAGATTGTGAACGGACAGAATGCCATCTCTGGTTCTTGGCCCTGGCAGGTTTCTCTTCAGGTAATGTCAGTTGTCTGTCTGTACTAATTCTGTCTAAATGTGTCTAATTCGTCTGTTTTTCAAACACACATTTGTCTGCTTTGTTTAAAGAATAAATGTCATGTTTTCAATGCTTTTACCTTTGAAACAGCTGCCCAGTGGTTTCCACTTCTGTGGAGGATCCTTGATCAACCAGAACTGGGTTCTCACTGCTGCCCACTGCGCTGTCGTGTAAGAGTCTTCAATCTGACAAACATCACATTCAATCATGGTTAATGGATGCTCTGTCAGCTTTCTATCGGTCTTTTATCTATTCATTTTATCTTTACTTCTCTTTTTAGGGTCGGCTATCACCGTGTCATTCTTGGAGAACATGATCGTGGCTCCAGTGTTGAACCCATCCAGGTCAAACTAGCTTCCAAGGTAACATTATTTAATGATTTCAGAGCAGAATAACAAAATGAGAGATCAACTGAAAGTACTGAACATCATTCTTTAATCAAAATTGAGTCCTTGAGGTCATCTATATGTGTCCTTCTAAAAGTTGCCAAAATAAACTTTTTTTTTATTCATGCACTGAAAATTCAGTAGGCTATAGGAAAGAAAATATCATTCTATAAACTCAGTGAAGAGTGTATAATACAAAATGCATGAAAGTGTCAAAATGAAAACAGAAATGAAGAATGCTTGTATCTTAGATGATATTTTATAAAGTTGACTGTCACTAGTAACTGTTCATCCATCTTCTGTGTATATGCAGGTCATCACCCATCCGCTCTACAGCAGCACGACTATCAACAATGACATTGCTCTGCTGAAACTGTCGTCTCCAGTCACACTGACTCCCCGTATCTCTCCTGTATGTCTGGCTCCATCAACCATCAGCATCCTCCCTGGAACCCGCTGCTTCACCACTGGCTGGGGCCAAACTGCCACCACAAGCATGTCACCTCTAAAATAAAGATGAACTGCAAAAATTACTGTTGTATATTACTTCTTGTTGTTTTTCACATGATTCTGAACAGTCTGAGGTCTGATGTTATTTTTTAGCGAGCCCTCTGATCCTGCAGCAAACAGGCATCCCCATCATAAGTCCTGCTGTGTGCAGTCAGATCTGGTGTCAGAGCACTATCACTGATGCCATGATCTGTGCTGGAGGAGCTGGATCATCATCTTGCATGGTGCGTGAAGACAGATCAAGACAAACACATTACTGTATCAGTGTTGCTGCTGTTCAATCTCAAATGTGTGTTTTCCACAGGGTGATTCTGGTGGTCCTCTGGTGTGTGAGCGTTCAGGGGTCTGGTCTCTGGTGGGCTCTGTGTCCTGGGGAAGAAGCAATTGTGACACCCGTTATCCAGTAGTCTACGCCCGCATCTCCCAACTGCGCTCCTGGATAGACACGACTATCGCTTCCAACTAGAGCACCAGTCTGAGTATTTATCCACCAAGGGAGGGAAAAACACATTTTAATTGTTATTATGTAATACAGTTGATCTCTGTTGGAGGTGTTTTTTCTGAGTTTGTGGTTCCTTTGATCTGTTACTTCATGTTACTGTTTTCCTCTTCCAGCTGTACAGATAATAAAAAATCGTTTTAATAAAAAATGAATAAAAAAGAAGAGTGTGTTGAAAAATGAAATTAATCATCTGATTATTTTAAAATGTAATGAGATAAGTTGCCATTATCCACATAGTAATACAGCAAAATTAATTATAAATTTAATTAGCTTTAAAATGTTAAAGGAATATATAATTTTTTATTTATAATTTTAATGTTCGATTAAAAAAAACTGCCTTCCACTTTCACAGCAACAAATGACAGACAACAGTGACGTAAGATACATGAACAGTGCAGACAAAACTACTATATACTAACCTTCAAGCAAATCAGATTTATATTCACACCAGAACAGCCTCTTTAATAACCAAATACAAAAGCATGAAGATTGATCAAAACTGATAACGTCAGCCACAAAAAATCCCTCTGATTACATGATCACACTGAAAACCTTCTTTGGTATCCACTTTTGTACACGAGCCAAGACAGTACCAATCTCTGTCCTCCATCCATGTTGCTAAACGTGTGACAAATTTCATCAGAAGCCAAAGAAACCTGAAGAGAAAAGTTGCCATTAGAATATGACAGACACTGACGTTCCATTTACTTATTCAGACAATCACTAAAATTAAACTCATAGCAGAAGACATGTTTTCTTATGAAGTACGGAATAATGCTGATTGATATCAGATTGCTTCAGATTTATCTACACTTTCATGAGCTAATTTTTTTAATTAAATTTTACTGAATGAGTTACTGAGCATCTTTCTGATTATTTGTTAAGCTATGTTAGGTGGATGACTTGTCAGTACTTTGTTTTTCAAATTTATAAAAATACCTCATGAACTGAAATTGTAATACTGTCATTATTTTCATTGTCATTAATAATATAAAATGACTTCAAGGGGAAATTCTTCTTCTGTCAAACACAGAAAGCTTCATAAAGTTGATTATGGAAAACACTTCAAAAGCACAATAAGCCATTTTCACTTAAAGTTATATTGCTAAACAAATTTAAAAGTGGATTCATGAACGCTAGGATGAAGATCACTGTCCCCTCATTCACAATGTCTAAATATAATTGAACTTTTAATCAGTGATTCAGAAGAACAGAATACATTTCTACATCCTTCATCCCTTAATGAGCAAGATGCGTTTGTTTATGAAAAATCACGCAGTATGTAACTAAATACATGTTTATGTAAAACACTTCAAAAGCACAATAAGCCATTTTCACTTAAAGTTATATTGCTAAACAAATTTAAAAGTGGATTCATGAACGCTAGGATGAAGATCACTGTCCCCTCATTCACAATGTCTAAATATAATTGAACTTTTAATCAGTGATTCAGAAGAACAGAATACATTTCTACATCCTTCATCCCTTAATGAGCAAGATGCGTTTGTTTATGAAAAATCACGCAGTATGTAACTAAATACATGTCTGGAATAGTAAGCAAATATTTAAAAACAAACCAAAACTGGTTTAATAGTAAAGGTATTGGAGATATTTGATACTACTCTACATAATCAGCGGTCCTTGATATTATCTTGTTATTATTATTATTTATTTATTTATTTTTATTTTTTTATATAAACTGTTCTAACACTTTATTTCTCTCTATTTTGATGCACAGAAGACTACAGAATGAATAGAAGCTAGAGCATTATGACAAAACTTCATGATCAATAAGTTCATTATCATCAGGATGACAAACAGAAGGCAGACTGCATATGTCTCTTTCCAGTTCACAGAAGCCGAACTAGTAACGTTACATTCTTGCCCAGCGTGAGAAAATGACAAGCTACTGACCAGACAACTTAGTGAGTTCAAGAACAGGGACTGTCCAGGAACTTATTAGAGACCAATGTGAACATCACTGTTGTGCATTGTTGTCACTGAACATCCTGCAGTATCTTAGATGTGAATCATACCAGGGCTGCATTAATGACTAAAACTGAAACTAAAATCACTTTTAGCTGCTTTTTATAAAATGAATAATCTGAGATGACTGCACAATAATTAAGGAAAGTATTCAGACCCCCTTAAATTTTTCACTCTTTGTTATATTGCAGCCATTTGCTAAAATCATTTAAGTTAATTTTTTTTCCTCATTAATGTACACACAGCACCCCATATTGACAGAAAAACACAGAATTGTTGAGGGGGTCTGAATACTTTCCGTACCCACTGTAAATCTAACAATAGTTTGTGGAGACTTGGATTGTTTTTTACTGTAAATGATGCCTCACATCAACAGTTCAAATCAAACACACAATCATACTAGTCGCTGATTCAATCAAATTTAAAATAAAGGTTTTAACAGTGTCTGAGAGAATAACAATTATTAATTAAATCAGGCATTAGGAATATAAATTTAGCCATAAAGCAAGCAAGACGTCATGCACAATTGGACTGTGTATGTAATTATACTGAGAAAAAAATGACTTTTTTATTTACTACCTAACAAACCATCCCTTTTCGTTAGGTAACCTTTCATTAGGTAAATTTTGAAGTATGACATTACACTCAGTTTGCACAAAGACCCAGACAGACAACAGAGATTATTTGTTGAGGTAATCACATAAACATGATGTTTCCCACCAAACACAAAGACATGAAGATCTATAAACACTGACAGGCACTTCAGACCTAAACCTAAAAAACCCTCTGATCTGATTTACTCTGACAGTGAGTGTGCTGCTCTCTCCCCTTTTTTTAATCTCTGTCCTTGGTTCTTAAACTTTTGTTATTGTGGTCTCTTCACAAATGTCTGACTCACCAGCAGCCAAAGAACACTTCCTGCATGTGTTTTTGTACTTGTATATAACCTCTACAAACCACTATCACTTGGAATATTTGACTTGGAATATTAGGAAATGACAAAGACTGATATTCCATAAGTCTTTCATTTTCCATTTATTTTTCACTTTTCATTAACTAAAGCCAGAGTGCGAATTATTACCACAATAAAGAATGCATATCACTCTGTTCCACAAGCAGCTTTGGGGCTCTCTGATCACTGTTTGGTTCATCTTATACCGACCTACTGTAACGCCCCTGTGGACTGTTTGTTGTGGTTTCTTCCCTTTGTGTTGGTTTAGCCCGTCTAATCATTAGTTAATCACCGTCATTGTGCTCACCTGTCTGCCTCTAATTATTCACCCCTTATTAGTTCCTGTCTGTCTGAGCATTTGTGTCGGTTATTATTAATGTTACCCCGAGTGTGTGTCTCACCTACCTGAACCTGCCTTGTTGTGTCTACAATAAATGTCATTATTGGAATCTTCCGGATCCCCTTCAAGTTTCCTACAGAGCAAAACAGGTCTGTGGACGATGCAGTCAACATGGGATTGCATTATATTCTGCAACATCTAGACAGACCAGGGACTTATGTGAGGATCCTGTTCATGGAATTATTGAGTGCTGTAATTTCAGACTGCTAACACTGTGTCTGAAGGATGCTCCTCAGGACAGACTACATAGCATTCATTAAACATCTACTACACAATTACATAAAATCCAAGTTTAAAAAGTTCTGGTTACTGTGTTTTGTCATCTTGATGAGAAATCAAACTGTATCAGACAGGGGCGTGTCTACATGGTGGCCAGGGGTGGCACCGGCCCCCACTGAGATCTGATTGGCCACCCCAGGTACCCCCCTACCAGATGTCTTGCGATTGGCTTGTTTTTATTACATTTCTAGCTGCATCTGGCAGTGGGGGATCCTGGCATGGGCAATATATGCAGCTGCCTAAGGCGGCTTTCTTTTCTTCTATATACTTAATTTTAGGCGGTTTCTATAGCGTTATATGACAAATGTCCAGAGCGCAGTAATGTAACGAGATAGCGCATCCATGTAATGCGCGAGCACAAAGTTCTCCACTCGCAAGCGAATTTCCTTCGCTCTCACACTAAACTGGACGTGCGCTTTTAAATATACAGTCTTCTCTTATTAATTGGCTCTGCTCTCTCAGATATTGCGTGTGCACGCTCAAACGTTATTCTTGCTTCACTGAAGACCAGAAGAGCTTTTTTTACTTCAGGTGAGTAGGCTTATCCCACTAAATGGAAGCAAGCTGATTGTAGTCAGCCTTAGTTCTTTATTTTATTATTTAATACTTATTTGAGTTGAGTGCTTATTGTAAATGTGCATTTATTAAATTATTTTATTTAGTGCACGTGTTGTTGTTTTGTATAGCCTATAGTTCTACAATAAACGCGTATCAACCAGGCGCGGTTCCAGATTTAAATCACTGAGGGTGCTTCTGACATTAGTGAGGGTGCGCTAGTCTTAATGCACATTTTCACATATTTTGTCCCATCCATTGCTATAGTTATAATGTCAACCACTGCTATTTCGAGAGTGAATCCAGCATAAATATGCAGATGTCATTCCCGAAATTTTGCAACGTGTGTGTAGCCGAAAAACAAATGTTCTGCATTTTGAATGGATTTGATCTAGGATTTGACTGTATAACTCAGCACGGAACAAAAACTGGTGTGTGTTGCAGCCCTGGTTGCAAAACTAGCATGGTTGGAGGAGGATGAAAATGTTTTCATTTGAGTAAAGCCTTTAAGACCCTTTAAGTGTTTTTTTTTTTCATTGAATATGTACAATTTCTCATGTGGTAACATCTAATTTATTTGATTTTATTCAACCCAAAATATTAACCTAATTAACCTACACATTAGGTTACAGTGATAAAATAAAATAAATAGCTCCCTAAGATAACATTTGCTGGTTAGCACTTCTTAATAGTGTACCATAGATTCTACAGTGTTTTTTCTTCTTCTTCTCATCATGCTCATTTTGGTCATTGCGGCCACCCTCTTTTGAGGCAGTGCCCCAGCCTGCCCCCCGCCCCCAACCCACCCCACTTCCATTTAAAATGCTCTAGACACGCCCCTGGTATCAGCATCTGACCAAACCACATTGTTTAGAGCTAGATGAGCCGGATTATCTTGCTGGTTTTTAACAGTTCACATAACTGAGAAAGACATGGTAAATATAAAAATGTTTTAAAAACACTACAGCTTATTGGAAATCATTGTTTTGGTCATCAATGAAGAAGCCCAACTTTACATATGCAGTCTGCCTTCTGTTTGTTGATTGACTGATCATGAAGTTTTGTCATAATGATTTAACTTCTACGCATTCTGCAGTCCTCTGTACATCAAAATAGAAATAATTAAAGTGTTTGGACAGTTTACATACAAACAATGTAAAAAAACAAAAAACAATTACGTAATATCAGGGGATGCTGATTAGGTAGAGTAGTACCAAATCTCACCAGAACCTTTACCATTAAAATAGTTTTGGTTTGTTTTAAAATATTTTCTGACAAATACAGACATGTTTTTAGTTATATACTGAATTAATCCTCATAAAGAAAAGCGTCCTGCTCACTGAGTGATGAAGCATGTAGAAATGCATTCTGTTCTTTAGAATCACTGATTAAAAGTTCAAATACATTTAGATCTGGGGATTGAGGAGACAATAGAAGGAATTGGACTTCATCCTAGCATTCACGAAACCACCGCTGAATTTGTTGAGCAATATAACATTACATAAATGGCTTATTGTGCTTTTGAAGTATTTTCCATAATCTTTATGAAGCTTTTTGTGTTTGACAGAAGGCGAATTTCCTGTTGAAGTCATTTCGTAGTATTAATGACAGTGACAATAATAACATTCGTCAGATATTTTTGTAAATCTGAAAACCCATGTATTGACAAGTCATCCACTAACAGTAGGCTAACAAACAATTATCAGAAAGATGCTCAGTAACTCATTCAGTAAAATTAAATATAAAAACAGAGCTCATGAAAGTGTAGATAAATTGCAATCTGATTTCAATCAGCATTATTCAGTACGTCATAAGACGTGACTTGTACTATGACTTTATTCAATTTTAGTGATTGCCTGAATAAGTAAATGGAACGTTGATGTCGGTCATATTCTTATGAAACCTTTTCAACAGTTTCTCTTCAGGTTTCTTTGGCTTCTGATGAAACACGTTCAGCAACATGGATGGAGGACAGAGATTGATCTGTATCGTCTTGGCTTGTGCACAAAAGTGGATACCAAAGTAGGTTTTCAACATAATCGTGTGATCAGAGGGATTTTTTGTGGCTGATGTTGTATTTAGTGGTAAAAGAACTGTCCTGGTGTGAACATACTTTTGGTTTGCTTTAAAGTTAATATCTTGTATATTTGTCTGCACTGTTTCTTGCATCACTGTTGTCTGTCATTTGATGCTGTTAATGAGGTAGGCATTTTGTTTTAAATTGCAAATTAATATATTCATTTAACGTTTTAAATTAAATAAAATTTATATTTCATTTTGCTGCATTATATGCTAATAATGGCAACTAATCTCATTACATTTTTAATTATTCAGATCATTAATTTCACTCTTCAATACACTTCATTTTTTGTATATTTTTTATTAGAATATTTGTACAGCTGGAACAAGAAAACAGTAACATGAAGTAACATCCAGATCACGGGAACCACAGACTGACTCAAACTCAGAATAAACACCATCAACAGAGTAAACTGTTTTACATATTAATAATTAAAATGTGCTTTTGACTCCTTTGGATGGTAAATACTCAGACTTGTGCTCTAGTTGGAAGCGATAGTCGTGTCTATCCAGGAGCGCAGTTGGGAGATGCGGGCGTAGACTACTGGATAACGGGTGTCACAAGAGATTCTTCCCCAGGACACAGAGCCCACCAGAGACCAGACCCCTGAACGCTCACACACCAGAGGACCACCAGAATCACCCTGTGGAAAACACACATTTGAGAATGAACAGCAGCAACACTGATATGTTAATCATGTTTGTCTTGATTTGTCTTCATGTACCATGCAAGATGATGATCCAGCTCCTCCAGCACAGATCATGTGTAACGGAGGCCAGCTGTGCAGGTAAATCCACTGATCTCAAGAGACGCACAAGCGACTGACGCTAGAGGCTGCAGTCTTTAGCCTCCTTGTTAGTGTGTCTGCCTCCCATGCCGGAGACCCGGGTTCGAGACCCACTCGGAGCAAGAACGATGTGTGGTGGTGAGGACCCGGGAGAGGCAGATTACACCAGCCACACATGGCATCAGTGATCATGCTCTGACGCCAGATCTGCCTGCACACAGCAGGACTTAAGATGGGTACACCTGTTTGCTGTAGGATCAGAGGGCTCGCTAAAAAAAGTCATGTTCAGAGTCATGTGAGCAAGTAACACACAACAGTAATTCCTGCAGTTCATCTTTGTTTTACAGGTGACTTACTTGTGGTGGCAGTCCTACCGCAGCCAGTGGTGAAGCAGCGGGTTCCAGGCAGGATGTTGATGGTTGATGGAGCCAGACATACAGGAGAGATACGGGGAGTCAGTGTGACTGGAGACGACAGTTTCAGCAGAGCAATGTCATTGTTGATAGTCGTGCTGCTGTAGAGCGGATGGGTGATGACCTGCATATACACAGAAGATGGATGAATGGTTGGGACATGATGGAGGTCCATCCCATCAGTGTTTATGGCTTCTGTCTATTTCCTTGAGAAGCATCATACTTTCACTTCTGCCAGTGAACGTTATGAAATGTTTTCGATGGAAAACGTTGTTGTTGCTATTGTCTGTTGTGATGTTTATTTAATTCAAGTCAGTGATGCTGAAAAGGAAGAGAGTGAAATTGTCAGTTATGAGAACTGCACTGAAGTGAAACTAACAGTACTAACATTAGTCTTTGTATCAGCACAAGCAGTTTAGATGAAACAAACAGTCTAGTCAAGTCACCTCTATTTGTATAAAACTTTATACAATACAGATTGTGCCAAAGCAGCTTTACAGAGGCAAACAGGAAAATAGTTAGTCAATAACGCAAGAGGACAATAACAAACAGTCATTTTTCAAGTTAAAGTCAGTTCATTGATGATTCAGTGATGTCATCATCCAGTTCAGCTCTCTTCCAATAGTGTCTGTGCAGTCAGTCAAGCGTCCCCAACTAAGCAAGCCAAAGGCGACAGTGGCAAGGAACCAAAACTCCATCAGTGACAGAAATGGAGAAAAAAAACCTTGGGAGAAACCAGGCTCAGTCGGGCGGGCCAGTTCTCTTCTGGCCAAACGAAACCAGCATGGCGTGGATAAATTCCAGGCTGCAACAGAGGTCAGATTGAGCAGAGGACTCATCTGGTTCCCATGGTCTTGTCCTGATGGTCGTCTAGGATCGCAGGGGATCTGTCTCTAGGGCTCATCTAGCTGACATGGTCTCTGCTGACATTCAGGGCTGTAGAGGTCGTCTCTAGGTGCTGATCCACCATCAGGTCTGGATACAGACTGGATTTGGATGGCTACAGTGACCTCGGAATAAGAATGAAAGAGACTAATATTAGCGTAGATGCCATTCTTACGATGTAGTGAATACATTGCGTGTTATGGGAAGTGTTCCCGGTTCCGGTTGACCTAGTTAATGCAGCCTAACAATCCTTTAAAGCAGTGGTTCTCAAACCTGTCCTGGAGTACCCCCAGCCCTGCACATTTTGTATGTCTCCCTCAGCTATCACGCCTGATTCAACTCATCAGCTCATTAGTGGAGACTGCAAGACCTGAAGTGGGTGTGTCAGATATGGAGACATACAAAATGTGCAGTGCTGGGGGTACTTCATGGAGAGGTTTGAGAACCACTGCTTTAAAGGATTTGAATATTAGAAATGTGATAGTGTCTTATGTGTTTGCCAGGTTAAAGAGATGGGTCTTTAATCTTGATTTAAACTGACAGAGTGTTTCTGCCTCCCGAACAACGCTAGATTGTTTCAGAGTTTGGGTGCTAAATAGGAAAAGGATCTGCCGCCCGCAGTTAATTTTTATATTATAATATATAATATTTCCTTTAAGAAACATCACAATTTTTACTTCTGTCATTGTATGTTATGAAATGTTTTGGATGGGAAACATTTTTTTGTTGCTGCCGTTGCCTGTTGTGAAGTTTAATTAATTCAAGTCAGTGATACTGAAGAGTAAGAGAGTAAAATTGTGTAATTATGTCACACTGTGATTATATCAGTTACGAGAGCTGTGCTGAAGTGAAACTAAAAGTACAAATATCAGTTTATGTAACAGCACAAGCAGTTTAGATAACAGTCAAGCTATTTCTTAGTATAGGACATCTTATCATAACCACCGAAAAGAGCTGGCATCAAGTTTCTCAATATGTTTACTTATCTATATTTTACTGCCCTCCTCATCCTCAGTAACATTCCATGCATTTCTGGCATTATTTACAAATAAATGAATAAATAAAAAGCACTATAGCACAGTAAACTCTATTAAGATATCAGTTTGTTTTTTTAGTTGTTTTTTTTTCTTTTGCTTATTCATTTGCTTATTGTATTTTCTTTTTCTTTTCTTTTTTAGGAACAGATTTTTTACAGTTGCAATTTAAAATAAGGCATTATGTTTTATTTCTGTGTTAAATCAGAAATCTTTTTTTTAGTCATATGCATAACTGCTATGATGTGTTTTATTAAGATGTTAGATGTGTAAAACTCATTATGATTCAAGCTGAATTAAATGCTGGTTGTTTAGGCTTTTTATTTACTCTGATGTAACATATGTATGTGTACAATATTAAGCATTGGGTTATGTTTGTACACAATGCTGGGAAAAGTCTTATTTTTTAAGGTTCCTCAAGAACATGTGAAAACCCCTTCTTTCTCTTTTCTTTCAATCAAACTTCTGAATATGATTATTTTTCTCATGGAAACTGCTTTCAAAATGTTTTTATATTTACCACGTCTCTCTCAGTTCTGTGAACAATCAAAAATCAGCAAGATAATCGGGCTCATCTAGCTCTAAACAATGTGGCTTCATCAGACTGTGCTAGTTTGATTTCTTACCGAGATGACTAAACAGTAGCCAGCCAGTTTTCAAACTTGATTCCTATGTAACTGGGTAGTAGATGTTTAAGGAATGCTATAGTCTGTCCTTCAGTGTTCGAGAGGGAGCTCAGGCCAAAACAACAAACATAATAGGGGTAGACTGAGTACAGTAGAGACACTTTCTGCCTTTGTCATCACTACACAAAAACTAGATGCTGAAATGAAGTGATTTTTCACATGCTATTTATTTTGCTTGTGTACTAAAATATCATAAATTGATAATAGCTATAAGTAGTTTATATTTTCCACAATTAGCTCATAAACATAAGGTGCATTTTTGTCTCAGCTGTGCCCATATGGTGTACAGTTGAAACAGTACCATGGTACAGGTGAGACACCCATTCTTAATGCTCTAAAGCTGGCTAACCATGTATTGCAACTCTGATAAATGACAAAATTACAGTTTTAAAAATTACAGTTTAAAAATAAATGTATTTATTTGCTTTATTTAATTCAGATTCAGTTAAACAAAATAGGAACAAATATTTAACACTAGAAAAGATATGGCAAACAGTACAAACATAACAGTAAAAATAACAATACACACCTGTATATTCTATAATCCTACCCCTAAACCTACGCATCACTCGAAACTTTCTGCATTTACATTTTCAATCATTCTGCATGATTTATAAGCTTGTTTTATCATGGGGACCTAAAAATATTCACATAAGGTTAGAATTTACTGGTATTACTATACTTGTGGGGACATTTGGTCCCCATAACGTTGGTAATGCCAGTACACAAACACACACAGCCTCAGAATATGAATTTTATTTTCTATTATTGAACTGTTACTGAATACATAGCGACCTAAAAGGTGTATCAACTGTATCCACTTTACCACCTTGTATATTTCTTAAAATGCTATGTAATCCCTTTAACATTCATGTTAGAAAATATGTCCATTAATAATAGACAGTTGAAATATCACAAATATTTGCGTAGCATATGTGTAAATGCGACTTTTATCCTATTATCATAACACTGTACAACTAAACAGCATGTGAAGCAATAGGACACTAATCCGGGTACAGTTGATACACTGTTTCAACCGTACCCCACTGACATACTCGCACATTTCTCCAGACTATGAAAAGAACTTGCATGTCTACTTTTAGAGCACAGAGTAACATTTGCAATGATGTATGTTAAGTTTAACAATCATAAAAGAATAATAAGCTACTTATTGTGGAAGGGACATGGTGAAATTAAAATCTCATCTTGGAAAAAAAAAAAACTTTTGCCAATATCTTCGGAGTGGAAAGACGCACACATTTCAAATTTCCCACAATCAAAGAGAACACTAATACACATGTGTGGAGCAAAAATCACGGCTCGGGGTTCTTGCATGCGCAAGTTATTTAAGGTGTTTCAACTGTACACATGTATCAAATGTTCTCAGTCTACCCTTCATCTACCTGATAAACAGAAACTAACTAACCTACCAAAAGAAAAGGAAACAAAAATACATCAAAATACCCTAACTCCCTTACTAGCATAAACAGGAGAAAACAAGTCCAGAAAGAAAATGGCATCCCCTCTCTACTCAACCCCGTCCCAAATTAACAGTGCAAACTTAAGTTAAAGATCCAATAACAAAACAAAATACAAACAAATATTAACTTTCAAATAACAGGATTTCTGGTTGTAAAGATGGAAGTTAGAACAGCGGGTGGATTAACCCAATATCACTAAGGGAATCTGATCAGCAAAATATGAAGTGATGTTACGTTCAACACCGAAGCTTTAAAGTTTGTATAAAAAAAAACAACACATTTCACATTGAAGTATCGGAGCTTGATTCGTTTTGAGAAAAGCACGTGATCTATGACGTCCGAAGTTCATTCGCCTGAAAACCATGTGACTGCTTCAGTATCTGGTTCAAACTAAGCGAACCTCAGCGCAGTTACCTTTACATTATAATGTGTTAGCATCGTTTTTTTGTTTGTTTGTTTTTTAATCGTAATTTCTATATTGAGCTCAAAAATTAACTTTGGCCATGAAATATCAGTCTAAGGACTGAGGTAGAGTTAAAATAAACAGATCATAGATTTAATGTATGAATTTATGTTTTATTTATTTTAGTGCGAGTACACCGACACGAATGACTTTGACAATAAACATTATTTATATAAAATATAATAAAACAAAACAAAAAATCAGTTGTAGAACCAGATGTGAAACCACTGGCTGTAATGGAACATAACACTTTGGAAGGTGTTATTTATTTTTATGACCACTAGATGGCCACAGCATAAACCGTTTAAAAAAAGCTTCGAGTAATGAACCTTTTTCCGATACAATTGTGATGAAAGCTTCACAGGTTCAGAACGCTTCACTTCGCCATCACTAAAAATATGGTTCATAAACAAGGAAATATGGTTCATAAACAAGAAACCCTTGAAAAGCAAGGGGAGAGAAAACTCACAACAGAGCCTCCACACACACAACCACACGTTCTGTGGTGGAAATGCTGCTTAAATCTCCACTGCTCCCTCTCATCCTCCTATCAGTGTTAACGGCCAATCATTGGTGACAGGTGGCGGCCATTACGAGAGAGAGAGAGAGAGAGATAGAGAGAACAACAACAACAACAACAACAACAACAAAAAAAACAAATACTTCCTGGGACGTAACAGATGGTCACATTGGTCTCCAATAAGCTCATGGACAGTCCATGTTCTTGAACTCACTAGTTTGTCTGGTCAGTAGCTTGTTATTGTCTCAGACTGGGCAGGAATGTAGCTTTACCAGTTCTGCTTCTGTGAACTGACCTCATGCATCTTATGCAATCCAGCTGAGACACTTGTCTTTAAATGTTTAGCTATGAGAAGGAGGATATAGTTTTGTGAGTATGAAGATGAAAAGGTTTGGGGTAAACATTCTTCTGCTGATAAATTAACCTCAAGGAAGAGACATGATTATACTGCAGCCTAATCATGAAGTTTTGTCATAATGCTCTAGCTTCTACTCATTTTGTAGTCTTCTATACATCAAAATAGAGAGAAATAAAGTGTTTGTACAACAAGGTGAACACAATTAACAATGTAATATCAAGGACTGTTGATTAGGTAAAGTAGTATCAAATATCTCCAATGCCTTTACTATTTGGATTGTTTTAACAAGATTTCTTACAGTTCCAGACATTTATTTAGTTGGATACTGCTCACTGAGATATGAAGGATGTAGAAATGTATTCTGTTCTTCAGAACCACTGATTAAAAGTTCTACCAGAAAGACTTGGGAGGCAAGATGACATAATATTTATTTAACAACAGACCAGCAAATGAAAGCAAAATATAAATGTGATAAAGTTGTTTGGCATAGGCCCCGTCCGTAGCTTGCATCCAGAGGGTTGCTAACTCTTGCACTTCCTGCCTAAAGATGAAGGCAGGGGCGCAGCCGTCCCCCAGGGAAGTATGGACAGGGACCATCCTGGTGGTGGAGGGGAGGATGGGGTGAATGTTGGCATCATCATCTGAGAACTCAAACATGTGTAAGTACTGATCTTATATCCAAATGTTAGATGATGATTGGTTTGATCTAAGCGTAATGGGTGACGTAACATTTTCCGCTTTCATTTCAAATACATTTAGATCTGGTGATTGAGGAGACGATAGAAGGAACTGGACTTCATCCTAGCATTCATAAAACTACTGTTGAAATTGTTTAGCAATATAACATTAGGAGAAAATGGCTTATTGTGCTTTTGAAGTATTTTCCAAATAGCACCCTAATCAACTTTCCCCTTGAATTTCCTCTTGAAGTTTTTATAGAATTTCATAGTAATAATGACTATGGTCACTTAATCACTAAAACGGCTAAATCGTTCGCTTTTTTTCCTAATTTCTAATCTTTTATAACTTAATATCATCAGGTATTTTTATAAATCTGAAAAATTAACAACACGTAGACTAACAAATTCTCAGAAAGATGCTCAGTAACTCATTCAGTAAAATTAAATATCAATGGAGCTCACAAAAGTGCAGCTATATCAGAAGCAATGTGACAGCAGTCAGAATTATTCAGTACTCCGTATTCAATTATTCTCCGTAAGAAAACGTCTCAGGTTACGCATGTAACCATAGTTCCCTGATATTAATGTCAAGCCCCTTAACTCACTTTACAGGTGGTCTCTGCTCTCCGATTGTAGTTACAATGACATTTAAACACATTATGCACTCATAAACAATTGCTTATCAAGTTGTGTGCTGGCAGTGGTTTTGGTAAGGCTATAGTCTCAGAACAGTCAGCCTTCCCGGTCGTGTATCGCTATGTTTAAAATTCTCATGCTTAAAGTTGTGATGAGATCTTATCGGAAGATAAAACCCTCAGGCGTAATGTACATTAAAAGAGGAAACATACTGAGGAACAAAACTGTCATAGAGACTTTATGGTTGGGCTTTTTTGATTTGGTGCAGATATCTGCCACTATTTTCACTAAGTCAGGGCTCTTCAATTAGCTTCATTTGAGGGCCGGATTATCGAACTGAAAATTTGAAGAGGGTGGGGGGCCATCCCGATCTCTTTCAGGGGAGCCTATGAAATTAGAAATTAAATTCAAATGCATATTCAGCAGTAAAATGAACTAATATCTCCAACAGTAACATCTATAAAAGGTTAACAATAGTGCTGTCAATCGATTTAAAAAAATTAACTAATTAATCACACATTTGTCTGTAATTAATCATGATTAATCACATATTAATATATTTATATTGTAATAATTTCATATTGAACCTCCAAATTAATGTAGAAACAACATAAAGATGGTATATTTTAAATGTGTTTAATGGCATCTTTTTACTAAGTCGCCTGTTATTAATGAAGACCAGTATCACTGACAGGCCTACCAATAATGCTACTGATGTCTCTATTAACTTTTAATTTAAATGAACTTAAAACAATCTTCACATAAACTATAAACTGTAAATGCATAAACTATAGATCAATTTTTATTCAAGCTACAAAAGTTAATAAGCGAGCCACTCTTTGGCCCTATGCAACCGCTTATATCGCTTATTAGGTAGTGCCAGCACTGTGTAGGCTACAGCAAACATACAGCAAATACAGAGACTTTCAAACTATACTCCATATATGATAATCGTCCTCATCCAGTGTCTGCACGATTTCTCGCCAGAAGTTATAACCGATAACACTGTCTTTATACTCGTTTAAACTAGAGTTGTGGATATTTCATAAGCCCCTCACACAAGCGCTTGTCAATGTTGACGTCTGTTGATGTTGCGGTCTCCAGTAGATTGTAGTGCAAAAACAATTCAAGGCATATGTGCGACCAGCACGTACTCTTCCCTCGGGCTGGATGAAGATGATTGAATAGCCGCCAATTGAATAGCCCTGCAAAACAGCATGTAACTACTATTATTTAAAAAAAAAAAACTCATATTTTTGCATAGTGTAAATAGAATCTATCGCTATTTTCATTTAGTGTAAATAGAATCCATTGCTATTTGCACTTAGTGTAAATAGCATCTATCACTAAGAAAATATGCTATTTTCACTTAGTGTAAATAGCATCTAATTGCTATTTACACTTAGCCACTACCATTTTTTTTTTTTACAGCTGATTAACAATAAAACACTGACAGCCAATCAGACTTCATTCAAATTTAAAGGTCTTGTGCGTTTAAAAATAGCTAGATTCAATGTTTAGATATGCTCGAAACGTGAAGGCTCGTGACGATACATTGATGTGTAAAGACACGAAACGATCGG